GCCGATTGTATTTGTTTTCTGTTTGCGAAGGCTGCTGGCAAAGGTATTATGACGATAACCGAGTGCTCTTGCTGTGTCTTGTATTCTTTTACGTGTGTTTTTATTGATGGCAGGATTGTCTTGTAAAGCACGACTTACTGTTGCGGATGAAAGGTCCAGTTTCTGCGCTATATCATATATGGTAACGTCTTTTTTGGGCTTCATGGTGCAATCGGTTGCATAAAAATCGCAAAAAAATGGTCAAACTACAAACTTTTGTTTTTGAGTGACGAAGCCCGGATGATCAGTTCAGAACGAAGCATGATGGTGTTGGTAGATGTAATCTTAAAAGTGCCTTTCAGATGTTTGATCAAACTGGTAATTGCGGTTTCGCCGACTTCATAACCGGAATAATTTACTGTTGTAAGGTTAGGTTCTACTACTTTACTGATGGGGTCGTTATTGAAACCGGCGAAAGCGATATCATCGGGAATGCGGACGCCTGCTTCTTTTAGTTTTATCATGCAGTAGACGGCGGCGGTATCATTGGCAGAGAAAACGGCGTCGGGTCTTTTCTTCATTTTCAGGATATGTTCCGCTGCCTGGGTACCTGCCTGCTCGTTAAGCTTGCCGATATTGATCATAGTTTTTTCATCGAATGGCAGGTTGTGATCAGCCAGTGCCTGTTTGAAACCTCTAAGCCTGTCAGCGAATACATTTCTTAGCAGGCTACCTGTCAGGTGCATGATATTCCTGGCTCCCTGCTCAATGAGATGTTTCGTGATATCATAGGCAGCATTATAGTTATCGATGAGGATACTCGTGTTGTTCAACGTGGGATCATTGCGGTCGAAGAAAACGACGGGAATTCCTTTTTTGGCAAACTGTTCGAAATGATCTGTATTGGTTGTATCGTATGCAAGGGCTACCAGCAATCCGTCCACCCGTTTATTAAACATGGTGTGGGCATTGGCGACTTCTTTAGAATACGATTCCAGTGATTGTGTAATGATAAGGTTGTAATTCTCCCGGCTGGCCGTGTCTTCCATTCCTGCCAGGACGGACGACACGAAATGACTGTTTAGTCGCGGAACGATTACCCCGATCGTATGTGTTTTTTTGCTCCGAAGACTGCTGGCGAAAGTATTGGAACGATAACCCATTGATTGAGCAGCCTCAGCGATTTTTTTACGGGTGACAGTGCTGATACCAGGATGGTCTTTTAACCCCCGGCTCACCGTAGCAGCCGAAATATTCAGCTGCCTGGCAATGTCATAAATCGTTATTTCTTTATCCTGCGGCATATGGATCGCCCCTTTTGTGCAAATAACGGGAGAATATTCTAAAAAAAAATTGCAATCGGTTGCAACTTTTCGGAAAAACTATTTACATTCGGGTCTCGATTCACCGATTCATGCTTGCTTATGATTAAGAGTTTGATTCCTGGTCTGGTCCATTCACCTCTCAAATCGATCATTCACTCTACTCCCGATCGTGAGCATTTACGAATACGTTTATCGAAAA